TGCCTATAACAATATACAAATATATAAATAAATGTAAATAAATATAAATAAATATAAATAAATATAAATATTATAAATAAAGAAAACACCATCGGCTGCAGAAAACGAACAAAAAGTGTTTATATACGGGGGCAAACACCCACCCCTCTGGGGTGTACATGCAGGTCACGCGGGGTGTACATGCAGGTCAGGTGTACGTACACCTCAACCGCTAGCCTTGTTCCGAGCCCAAGGCAAGAAGAAGGCGATCAGTTTTACCCACAACCGCAGCAGGCTGCTCTCTCTTCTCTCCCGACACACATAAACAGCTGGGGGGAGAGAGACAGAGACAGAGAGAGAGAGAGGAGACTGGCTAGCTGAGCACAGTTCACTAGCTAGCTAGCTAGCTAGCTAGCTAGCCAATTCTGGCTAGCTACTCTCGGCTAGCTAGCTAGCTAGCTAGCTAGCTAGGTCTTTGTCGCTAGCTAGCTAGCTAGCTAGCTAGCTACTGTTCACTAGCTACTTTCGGCAATCAATGTTCGGATAGCTAGCTAGCTAGCCATCTGTATAGCTAGCTAGCTAGCTAGCTAGTCAGCTAGCTTTCTATATTTATATTTCGCTAGCTGGCTAGCCATTGAGCTAGCATGAAAGCAACTGCATGCATGCATGCCTGTATGCATGCACACATACATGCATGCATGCATGCATGCATGCAGGGTGTAGTGTAGGGTTTAGGCTGCATGCATGCATGCATGCATTGTTTCGGATCTAGCGAGCATACATACATGCATGCATGCATGCCTGTACGCATGCATACACGCCTGCATGCATGCATGCACGCCTGTATGCATGCATGCGCGCCTGTATGCATGCATGCATGCATGCATGTATCAAGAAGAATGTGTGTGGTTAGTTTTAGGAAGGAGAGGATGTCTGGCGTCTGTATGATAGACCTGCAGCAGGGGGGGCGGTATCTCCTCNTAGTTTTAGGAAGGAGAGGATGTCTGGCGTCTGTATGATAGACCTGCAGCAGGGGGGGCGGTATCTCCTCGGAGTTGAATATACACCGCAGCACGCCGCTGCTGTCTAGCACGCCAGCCAACTGAAAGTGAGAACCGTCCTGCAGCAGCAGCAGCAGCAGCAGCAGCAGCAGCAGCAGCAGATGGAGGAGGGGGAGGAGCAGCAACAGTTGCAGCAGCAACAGCAGCAGCAGCAGCTGCAGCTGCAGCTAAAGCAGATTATATATAAAAATAGAGATATAAAGATATAATCAGAAACACAAAAAGAAAGATAGACAGAAAGAGACAAAATATAAAACAAAGAAACAACAGGGAGAAAGAGCAGCACCGGTGCTGCTGCTGCTGCTGCTGCTGCAGAGCAGCAGCAGCAGCAGCAGCAGCAACTGCAAGAGCACAGCGGCAGCTGTGATAAGGAGACAGATTGGATAAATATAATAAAAAGAATAAATAAAATAAAATAAATAAAATAAAATAAAATAAAATAAATAAATAAAATAAAATAAACAGACTAACAACGAAGTAGAGAAAGATGTA